TTGGCCGCAGAAGGTAATGAATGAAGATGGAACACAATTTATTTTTAGGGACATCAATCATGTCATCATCTCCTAAATGTAAAGGGAAGTCTGATGATAGAAAGGTCTATTTATATGGGCTAAAAATTCTTTGTCCTGTTGTATGTAAGTTTAAAACCGTGACAATGACAAAAAAGTGCTCATTCTTAACGCTCACTTGAGAAATGGCTAAAAACTAATTTAATTGCTTAACAGCATTTGTTCAGTTTAAGGTGGACCTAACAATGTTTACACTAGATTCAGTGAATATTGAGTCTGATACAAGACTTTGAAACAAATTCCTAGCAAGATGGCCCTAATACCCTTTAATATCTGCCAAGTTCTTATGGCTAAACTGGAAACTACTCAGCAGACATGGAGCAACATTGGCTTCCCATTGGAATATTGCATTGTAAATTAGGCTAATTAATTTATAAGCAGTTGTCATTCATCATTTTTACACAATTATGGAACTTAATATTTTTCTTAAATTGCTTCATCTAGTGTGGAAAAGTCATAGGAGCCCATCTCACTAAATCCAGCCTCACGCCGATCCTCCACCGTACCAGGTCAAGTGACAGCTACTGCTAAGTAGCTGCCACTATACAGTGTATACTGTAGTATAAAATACACTACACTGGCCTACTATATGTAATACATATTTAAAACATAGTGCTCCTTCTCTTACATGTAGCTTAAAGGAGTACTCCAACAATTTAGTATTCATCTTCCATAAAGTTGGGAGATTCACAAGAGACATTATGAAGAGAACATCGGAGTCAAATTGGAAGCAGCAGAAGCCTATGTATTGACTTGGGTTCCAAAAATGTTGGATCCTACAATTCTCAATATCCAACTCAAAATAGCATCTTTCATTAGACCCTCCCTACCTCTTGAATGCATGCGTGTTTACCTATGGTCTTTACACCACACCTTCAGTTTGTAATGCAGGCTTTCAGATAAATTTTGTACACCAAGGCAAGTTAACCCTTATGACAACATCAGAGACATTTTTTTGTTAAAACTGGAAAGCTTCCCCCAGATCCACAAAACACATTATAGCCTACCCATTTTTACACAGGCTGAGTAGTACTTCTCTTGAGAAGTAAAAAAATGGTAGAGTGCCCCTTTAATTGGCCATCTTGCCTTCCGTTTTATTGAAATCCAACTCACTAGGTAACTAGGGGGGGAAACTGTGTTAGCCTCATTTTTTTTTTCCTCGTGTATTAGCAGAATCCCCTACTCTTCTATTAAAAAAATATTTCGTCTGTTGTAAGATAAAAACTAAAACCTAAAACCACCTTCTTGGTTTTCCTAACATAACCCGTTAATTATCTTTAAAAGAAACTCATGGTTACCTCTGTGGTCCCTATGCTAATACATAAGGGGCTAATGCTTGTGTAGAAAGTTCTTTAGCTAACATTGATAAGTAAACAGTTCGATAAAAGAAAATATTACTTAATACTTTTTTTTTTTACTCAGTATTTATAACTTATTTTTGTACTTTTTTGTAGGCTAATTATCTATGCAAAGTCAACTGAAACAAAAATCTGTTTCATTAACCGCTGCCGAGTAATGAGATTACTTTGAGGTTACCATGGATACCTTCGGTTCGACAGCCGTTGGCCCCATCTCACAGAGGAATATGGGGGTCTCTCTCCGGTCTCGTCATCCCTCTTCTTTTTTTTTCTCTCTCTTTTTTTGGGAGAGGGGGGGGTGTTGCCTGTCCAGTGACCGACTGCTTCTTTCTGCTCGCTGAATGGGAGAAAAAGGGGTCTTTGCTTGCGGAAGATATGAATTTAAATCTCAGCACACAGAGAATTAAAGGAAGTTGTGCTTACCGAAAACTGTAAAACGGTCACAGATGAGCGGTCGTGTTCTAATCGGGAAGGTGCCTTCTCTGCAGTCGGCGCCAAGAGCTAAAAGGACTTTACTTTTTACGCCAAGGTAATAATGACATTTCACCACTGCTTTCTCTTAAACACACCGGACAACGTTTTCGACATCTTTATAGCTGTGTTGAATTCTGTTGATACGCTACAGCGGCTTTCTTTATTTGCCCTCTAACTATAATTTATCCAACGATAATGGCTGTTCCTTTTATGGGGACTGTGGACTAATAGATTTATTCGCAGGCTTTAAATCATTGTTAAGATGACTTGGCTTTTGACTAACGTTACAGTATGGTAACATTAGCCGATAAACTACTCGTGTAGAAGATTAATTAAGGCTGTTTTGACTACATTTTCGGTGCTTAGATATTGACATTATACTGTAGTACTACCATGATACAGTTGTCCAGTAAATACATATGTTTAGTAGATATATGTTTTTTGAGCTACAGCAATTTTACACGTGTGAATTATGTTGACATGAGGTTGAATATAGTCATGAAGAAATGTGCTGGAGATTTATATGTTGACATTGATTTGGCTCTATAAATTATAACATCTGTGGTAACACTTTTTATTCTTGGAGGACACTGCAGTGCTGCTACCACAGCTATCTGTATAATAGAGGGTGTCTTCACCGCTCACTCAGCCATAGGCATGCAGTTCCAGGAGCCTTGTCTTTTCTGTCCTTGATGCAGAAAATATTGACAGTGCCAGATCTGAACTGCAAGATGCATTCGTCTTGTGGGCACAGTGCATTATTTCATGTGATTTTATAAAGGATAAAGCCAACTCTTTTTTTTTTTTTTTTTTAAAAAGAGCATGTGTGAGAAACTTAAACTTCTCCTCTTTCTATGTAAAATGTTATGTGTGCTTGCTTTTCTTGCTTTGCCTGTCTTTGCAGTGGCTTCCACCAATGTTGCAGATCTTGCCATAGTGGCAGCCAGCATTTGTGTTTGTCCACATGTGTGTGTGTGTGTGTGTGTGTGTGTGTTTGATTTTAGTGATGCTGTTAGATCCCAGTCCAAGTCTGGACAGTGATTGCAATGTCCCCAACCTGCTCCACCCCACCAATCATCCTTGATTCTTCTTAAATCAAAACATTTTCACTGCAACCCAACTCAAATAATAGCATGGACACACAAATCAGAGAGATGTTGGAGCTGTGCCACAGAAAACAAAAAGTTAATTGCCACCCTATGGTTGAAGTATGCACTTTGCTGGTGTACAACTCCCACCCTCTCCCTGTCTGGATTTCATCCCTGAGAGCAGACAGTTTGGCTTGTAATATTAACAGCCCACAGGCCCTCCTGCCTCTTCTTAGGCTGACATCCCTTTGGGGTTATTCATGGCCCCTCTGTTGCTCCTGACAGAGGTGGTATTGTTCAAACACACCACGAACATCTGCGCTCAATGTAAATCAAAATTATTCTCATTATTGATGGTATGTGAAAAGGTAAAAAAAAACAAAAAAACATTTAAAATTCTCAAATCAAACATTTATCTCAGGTTTTTCCTTTCTCGTGTCAAACTTTGCCTCTGAGGTCACGTCTCTGTGGCCACAAATCCTCACTAAAATGTTGAATTTTATGTGTCAGAATGCTCAAAACCAGTACAAAGTGTCAGGGAAAGCTTCATCTCTGTTTTACAACTGCAACTACAACTCAACTTCAGCCATGTGATTAAATCCAATTCTGAATGTGTATGGGCCATTTTTGTCTCCCTGTATTTTTCTATGCAATTCCATGTTCCCTGCCTCTGCTAATTGCAGACTGCAGACCCACAAAGAGCATTTTCAGCTCAGTGGGGAAAGCAAAAGAAAGGGAAAAGAACTGATTCAGCTCAGGCAGTGACTCAGCTTTTAAAAGGTCTTATTAATTTACCTTTTCCACTGTGCCACATTTTCGTGCGCCAACACAAATTTGATTACCACCTGTGGTTGCCAGAAGAAATGACGGGGAACGTAATTGTACAAAATCCGAGCTGGACTTGCATTTAGCTCTCTGGAGATATAATTTTTAAGTTCAACAAGGCATTATTGCTCTTCGAAAGCACATAAAAATATTTCACTCTTCAATTTTAAACTCCCCTTGGACTCTGAACTGTTTTATCCTTCGGTGATGTTTTGGTTGACTGAGAGGCTACACTTCTGTTGAACTCCACACAGTGATCTGCATTTTAAATGTATTCAAATATGAATGCATCCAGAGATCTGATGTCCAGTGAGTAGTTTCCATCCCTGCCTTCCTTGCGTAAGGGGCCACTCTGGCAGCATCTGTTTCAGGGCGATGCAGGACGTCATTGTCGGGCGGAGGGAAGGGTCAGGAAGGGTTTAGGAGCCTGTCACTCTGATTTCACTGCTTCTTTAGAGTTTAGAGCATATGAGACTGCATTCTAAACCCTGAGCAGTCACTTGACATACTTTTTTATTCAGCATGATTTATCAGCATATTCTGTAAAGTTCCTCTTGAAGCTACAGTTAAAGATTGCAGTATGTTGGCCTTTGTTTAAAAGCTGCTAGCTTTGCCATCATAGGGATTTATTAAATTGCAATTAAGCTTATATCTTTATATCTTAAAATTAAAATTGAGGAAGAATGTTCCAAACAAACGTTGATTATATGAAAAGTCAAGAACATTTTGATGACGTCTTGCTCTTATAATGCAGCACGTTATAGGTTGAAACAGGATATTAGACAAATGGTCATAAGTTCAAAAATACTTTTTTTTTTTTTTTCAATCTTGAGCTTTGGAACTGTTATGATGCAGGCAATTGACTAATACTTGAAAAACTCATACTTTATTTCACTAAAACAGAAATATCCACTTCTTAGGGTTTGTTCACCATATGGCCTGGAGCTCTGATGTATTAGTTGAATCGAATCAAAGCAGCTGTAGCCATGTTGGAATTACCTGCTTGTTTGAGCATGTGGCCACCTCCAGAGAGAACTTACTGCAGACAGATGGGTATATCACTGTTGCAACCAGCTTTTTCTTCCTTCCTAGATTTCTGCAGCTTTACCTACTGTACATTCATATTGTTTTCATTTATTTGCACGTTTGCTAAATCGTCATCCATGTATCGTTTCAGTTGGGATGAGAGCAGCTCCATTAGCAGTGGGCTCAGCGACGGTGACGGCGATGGCTCGGATAACCTCAGCTCAGAGGAGTTCAACGTCAGCTCCTCTCTGAACTCCCTCCCGAGCACACCCCTGGGATCCAGACGCAACTCTTCGGTAATGGTGAGCTGACAGTCTGTGATACAGCGTGTGATAATGTTTTGCTTTCCTTTGGTCTTGTTTTGTTTGTAAAAGCAGTGCTAAAGATCACAGATGAGGCCTTCACTTGAAGCACTTTCAGTGCTTCATCCTATGATTTACATTGTATTGTGTCTAAAATGTGAGCCCTTCTGCTTTGAGAAGGGCCACAAAAAGACACCACAGACCTCGCCTCTGTCATTAAACTGAGACTAAAGAGAAGAGTGCAAACCCTCCACTGCAAATACACTGAAAATCGACTTTTCATTGAAGCAGGAGACATCTTGTGTCCAATAGTAAAAGAAAAACATGTTCATATATTATGGATTTTTCAATTAGGGAGATGAAGTAGATGTAATTATAGAATTTTTTACTAGGTGATTGAACTTTCTTTGTGGAAAAACTATATCAGACACAATTTGTTATTCCAAGCAGAGTATGTATTAACACGTCTGGAGGGGATCGTTAAATTTGATCAAACTTGTTTTGTGTTCACTTTTGGAGATGTGGTGGTGGTGGGTCCTACTGTTCTCCCAGGTTAACGTTTTTTACTTAATCATAGAGATAGTGCTTACTTGCAGAATGCTCACCAGGAAGAAATGAACATTAGAGGTACTCAATGAGCCATCTGTCGCTCTGTATCACATTCATAGCCTGCCAAGAAGCAGCATGTCCAGTTTTGTCCTCAGTCCTACCTCCTCAATGCACCACATGATTTTTCTATTATAGTGGAGCTGTCTTTTTTATCCACTGCACAGTGAAACATTCAAAAATATAAGCTCAAGTTTAACTCTATTGTTTTCTTTTTCATTCTTTTAACATATTGATTTACCTCTGAAAGTGTTAAACCCATTAACAGTTTTATTTTCCCATTTTATGTTTTCCTTTCTTGCTCTTCCTCTGTGGTTTTCTTTAATCAGCTCAGGGTATATCATTCTATCTCTCACTCCTTCCCACTGGAATGCAGCTTAGATGAAACAAAGATTACAGAGAACAGTCAATTCCACAGATAACACAGACCATGTCTGATGGTTCCCCACACTGCGCCCCTTCCCTTCCTCTCTCTGCAGCTCCGCACTGATGCAGAGAAGCGCTCCCTGGTGGAAAGCGGACTGTCTTGGTATAGCGAGGATGGCAAAGCCAGCCACAAGCTCGACAGCAGCAGCTATGACACAGGGAGTCTCAAGACAGAGGCCCCAAGCAAGTGGAGAAAGAAGCCTCCGAGCCTCAGTGAAGATCCAGCGGGTAAAGGTGAACTAAGGAAGCCACAAAGTTTGGGTCAACCAGGGAGTTTCAAGAAGGGCCGTAATCCTCCTGTCGGTGTGACCTCTCCCATCACCCATACCTCCCAGAGCGTGCTCAAAGTTGCAGGTGGGATCTGATAGCAAATATTCCCTTTCCGTCTATATGTCTTTCCCTTTGTTTGTCTTTTTCTCTGCTATTCCTCTCCTATAGGAATTTGGTGGATCACTGCCATTGTCAACTAAGAAATCTATGTCATCCATTATCTCTTTGTATACTGAATCCAAATGTAAAAACAGAGTCTGTTTATAGAGCAGCCAAGGCGGATATCTGCTTGGTGTCAAGATGAATACAGACACGTACCCCTCAGCGTAAGCCAGGTTTTGATTTGTAGCACAGCACAGTATACTTATGAAAAAATGCACCATGAAATCCATTTCATTGAAAAAAAAAAAAAATCTCAGTTTAAAGCCCAAAGCCATGTTTCTTCTATTATCTCAGGAAAAAGCCTGTTACTGTACATGTCTGCAGAGACGCTGTGTCTGCCATCTGCAGCAACCAAATTTATTTCTATGTCCTTTAAGCCCCAACAAAACATGCCATGATTAAATAATAGGTTAAAATTGAGTTCCAATACCAACATTTCTTGGACTTTCATTTTCAACTTCATTTCAGCTTTAAAAATAATTGATTAAAATTACTTCTGATTATATGTAGGTTGGCTGCAGTTTAAAGGGAAAAGCATTCACCTAACTGATGCAGAATAACTTAAGAGTCAGATGTGTTGTATTTGCTTTTATGAATGTACTATAATTATAATTTTACTTTTAGCCTTGAAAAGAAATCATAATTTACCCTTTTACCCTTATCTTTTAATGTATCCTTCAATCTTCACATAGTTGCATCACTTTAATGATCCATTCAGATAAGAGTTTGATTTTATCACTTGGATATTTCTTATGGTATAGTAAATTTAATTTTGCATAAAGCCCTTTAAAGTCAGTCTGTTGGTGAGTCACACTTGATGTCATGAGCACATAAAAACTCTAAGCAAATACAGATGTTTCTTGCTTATATTTTTAGCTCAGCTGTAAAGGCTGGAATGATATGTATGTTTTCCTTTATGTGATGCTGTCTAGTTAGAGAGAAATGATGGGGTTGGTGTCAGTTTTGTGAGCCCAGATTTACTGGGTTTACTGGTTCACCAACTCATCCAACTCATCCATCCATTCAATGTTTTTTTTGAGTAGCTTACTCAACAGGGTGATAGTAACTACTGGCCAAACCAAGCAGCCCAAACATTGCTGCTCCTCATCATTACTTTCAATTGTGAATAGAATTGCCTTAATGTTATTATATAACTATACAGTATTGTTCTTTCCTTGTTTATGCAGCACCTAAAAGCGAGAGGCCATTGGACAAATCCAAGATTTCCATTAAAACTGCTGGTCTACAACGGTCTCGTTCTGACGCCGGCAGGGATCATCATGGAGAACACCGCAAGCCCCCATCAGGTTTAGTTAAACCCACTGCTGGAGCCTCCTTTGGGTACAAGAAACCACCAACAGCCACTGGTACCGCCACCGTTATGACAGCAGGGGGCGCCACCATCTCCAGTGGCTCTGCTACTGTGGGGAAAACCCCCAAGTCATCTGGCATCCCAGTGAAGCCTGTGGGAGGAGGAACACCCTCGGGTCGAAAGAACAGTTTTGATGCCAGCAGTGAGCAGAGCTTCCTGGGGCCAAATGCCCGAAACAGCATTCAGTACCGCAGCCTGCCTCGACCCGCCAAATCAAGCACGCTCAGTGTGATTGGTCGCCCTGCAACTCGGCCTGTCAGCGGTACCATTGACCCCGGTCTGTTGAGTTTGAAACCTGTGCCCATGGCCTCCGCAGGCCCCAGGGTTAAAGAGCCTAGTAGCTGCGGCAGTAAAATGGCTTCTCGAACCAGCACAGGCCCAGTTAATCAGACAGACAGGGAGAAGGAGAAGGAGAGAGCCAAGGCCAAGGCTGTGGGTGCTGACATAGACTGTGGCTCTTTGAAAGGAGACGAGACTCAATCTGAGTCAACAGGAGAGTCTGTTGTGAAACTTCACGGCCTGAGACGGACCAGCAGCAGCAAATACCCTGAACTGTCATCACCCACCACACCAAGGTCTCTCATTTAAACAGCACTTTTGAGAGGTGTTTCACCTAAATCACAAAAAGCACATTTTCTCACTGAGGTCTCCTGGTATCTTGCCACGTGGGTAGTTTTATTGTATATTCCCAGAATTTCTTCTGCCATGCCAGGGCAAGGGATTGGAATGCAATTTTAGTTGTGGTGCCCACAGGATTGAAAAATTACATCTAAAAAATTCAACAGCAATATCTTTTCCCTGAAACAGTGTCCCAGTTACTCTAAATAATCCAGAGCGCTCACTGTCAGTAGTTTCTCCTGGAACAATTTTCTACCAAAGAAATGGCAACACTGTTTAAATTGATGTTGCTGTTGAATTTTAGAGGCAGACATCTTAGAGACATCTTAGGGACAGCTGTTTCAAACCTTGTCAAATACAACCACAGCTCTCTGTCTGGGTATACAGCAGCAGAAGAAAGTTAGAAAATGTGTTTTTTTTTTTTAAAGTTTGGGTGAAAGACTCTTTGTTTGATTACTTTGTTTTGCACATCATTTCTCTGTTTTTGACCTCTTATTTCCTCTGCCTGATTCCTAGGATGCTGAACACTAAGTCTCTGGGTCGTCCACCCAGCCTGGCTCACCTGGACAAGGTCAACTCGAACAGCCTTGACTCCTGTGTGACCATCCAGGACCTCCCGCCCAAAGTCCCCCCATACTCCAAGCTTCAGGACTTGGCCGGTTCTCACACAGCTACACGCCTCACCCCCAGCCCAGCGCCCGTCCTCCACATCGATTCCCCCAGCTCCTACACCAGTGAAAGCTTGAGCCTGAGCAGCTCACCACTGCTCTATCCCAAACTGTCCGGCATGCACCGCAGCATGGAGTCCCTGCCCCTCCAGATGAGCATACCCTCCAGTGCGAGGTTTGTCACAACTGAGACGCATGACAAAGAGGAGAGGGGTACGGGAACCTGGGGGGCCGGTAGCAGAACATCCCTCAACCTTGCAGATAGGCAAGTCTCAGAAGTACTTAACGTCCATTGTGTCAAACGTGTTTTCATTTTCCTTGTCATTAGTGTATGATGTTGTTTGCCTCTGAAAAGAAAAATTATTGTGAGGAAATTACAGTTTTGGCGGATGCTTGTCATATGAGGTGAGATCACAAATAAGCACATCATTTCTTAATTACAAAGCAAATAATTAGGCCACTTTCATTGTGGTAGTTTCATCTGATTTGTTATAATCAACTCTTTATCTCCCCAATCCTTCACTGGACAGAAAAGAGAAACTAAATTAAAAGAAAGAAAGAAAAAAGAAAAGCACACACGTTGGATTCTTCATCCACATAACAATGAATCAAAAGTTTAAATAGAAAGAAAAAAATAGTTATTTCAAAACTGCTCTTCTATCGTCTCATGAACCAACCAATATTGGTTGAAGCAGCTGCATTTATCTTAGCAGCGGACAGTGTGTGAAATATTATGTCCAGTTGAGTCAGTATTTCAACACTGGGCTATAAGTTTTCTTGGCAGCTGCCTGTCCTGCAAATGGAAAGCCTGAGCTGTCATTTAGAAGATGAAGGGTTGGATCCACTGGAAAATTTCTGTTTGTAAAAGTGGAGATGGACCGAAATATTTCCTGCCAAAGGAATGTACTTTTAGGCAAACCCACGCCATGTGTATGAATGTGGCCAGTTTGCCATATGGGCTGCATGTACAAAAAGCACTGCAAGATAAATCCATTAGATGTCTTACCAGTTATGCAGGTCTTATGTCAAAACCTAAAATGCGTAAAACTTTGAGAAACATACTATTTTTATTAAAATGATCAACAATGACAGTTTGTTTCTGTTAATAATGTTTTTATTCTCTTCTTTACAGCTTGCAAACAGACAGAAATACCTTGCCGAAGAAAGGCTTAGAGTATGTCAAAACAATTATCCCCCAAGCATCTATTTAAAATCTCACTCTGTCATGTATCGTCTTTGTTCAAAGTTAAAATGACCTCTCTTCTCTCAGACGCTATGGCTCAAGCCTGTCAGAGAGTGAAGGAAGCAAACCGGGAAGACGCCACTCCCACACCATAGTCAGCATGACAGAGAGCGACAGCCCCCCTCAGCTGCCTTCTCCCACCCGCCTGCTTCACCCCTCCTCTGGCAAGGCTCCTCTCACCAACGTGGGTGAGTCTGCCTGTTCAGTTTGGCTGCCAAGTTCTAAAAACACTCTCTGTTTGAACTCTGAATTAATGAGACTTGAGTTGCTTGATAAGCCGTCCATCTTATCGTAGATTATTATTGAGGACAGGGATACTGAGTTGACACTGAGAGGAAAGTCCAGCTAAGTTTTTACAGTTAAGAAATATTGACACAACTTGTCAATAAGAGATTCTGTCATATCTAAGTGGTCGAGTGGTGGCCAAATAGTAGAGTATTAGACAGATTTAACCATATGAATATGATTATCCTATATCTGCGCTCATATGGACTTGAGTTCAAGTCTGAAATATGCAGGAGATGGAGGCAATAGGGGGTCAAGTCAGACTATATTTATCTCTTTGACTGTTGTGGAACCACAGTGTTGCCTTTCACTGAGTCATCAGAATAAGGGTGCTATACCTAGGTGTAGGCCTACGCTGTGTGTGTATGTGTGTGTGTGTGCGCGTGTGTGTGTTTTTCTGCAGCTCTGCATCCTACAGTTTTATCTGTGCCACTCAATAGATTACCGAACGTCTCTCTTTTGTGATAGTTGCCCCAATTTCCAGTGGCACTCCGAGGATATCACGCTCTAACAGCATAGGTCCCCCTAGTGACTCAGCCTGCGATCTCTATGGATCCTCCCCCCTGGGCAGCAGTATGTCCCTGGCTGATCGGCCAAAAAGCATGATGCGGTCTGGGTCTTTCCGTGAACCCGGGGACGATGGTGAGCCTACTCAATTGGCCTCCCTGCAGGGGAGTCGCCCAATTGAAACAAAGCTGTGTGCTCATACTGTTAAACAAAATGTCAGAATGAATGGAGTATTTGTGCATCCATTTTAGATTAATAGGGAGTTACTCAAAGATTTAAAAAGCACTATCTGTGATCCAAATGTAAACAAAACAAGAAACCACCCACCAATAACTTAAACCTGCTTTCACTGTCAGAGAATGGGTAGGCTATATAAACTATAAAATATAATTACATGGCTGAGTCAGAGATATCCTGTTGTCTTGGAGGTTGTCAGTCATGAAAACTATTTAAAGTTTGCACCACTTCAGTCATTTATTTGTGACAGAAGATCAGAGAATAGCAGGAACTGCAGGCAAAGCTAAATTACTTATAAACATATCATTTTTCACTCTTTCAAGATACTGATGTCCACCTTGCCTTTCTTGCAGTGCATGGCTCTGTACTGTCTTTGGCGTCCAACGCTTCATCCAACTATTCCTCGGTAAGTGGATACAACCATTTTATATTAAGTAAATACTTAATGTTACTTTTGATGGAGTTTAGTGCTTTGTGTCTTCAATTTAAATACGCTGTCGTCTTCAAAAAGTGATCATGTAGACTTTCACTGCATAGAATAATATTAAATTTCTCCATTACAGCCAATGCAGGCAAATTGCCTTAATAATAATGATTGATGTATATTTTTTATTAAATGAAATTAACTTCTCCAGTTTCTCTCAATGATCTGGTAATGCACTGAATAGGTTTTTGGTAGCTATTTCAGACTTTTTTTTTTATTTCACAGTTGTCATCAAACTTCAGTAATGTCCCTTTTACTGTGGATACGTAATTTTGGTGACTAAAGTTAATCCTCTGCCCCATCCCTCTGTATTGTTTATTTGCTTTTTACCATGCCTTCAATAGAATGAGGAGAGGATACAAGGAGAGGTAAGGCCAACGAGCCGTAACTCTTCAGCTCACACTGTGCTTTCAGTCTGCGTCATCTGTCAGTCATTTCCTGTCAAAACGGGTCCATTCATCAGATGGTGTTATCAGCGCTCAATAAGTCTGCGATCTCAGGAGCTCATAACTCAGTTCATTCTGTTTTATCTCTAATATTCTTTGTCCTTTAGCACCACCTGCTAACATTTAATGAAAACATTTTCAGACCTCATAAAATTCTCAGTGCATGAAAAGAGTGGAGAAAATCCACTGTCATCCCACGGTTATAACATTTCCTATTGGTTTGGAATGTATTCACCTTGTTTGTGAATAATATCAGTTTCTGTTGTGGAGCAGTACCTTTCATATTTTGTTGTGTGCATATTTGTTTTTTGTTATTTTTTTCATCTATCAAACACAACGACATATTCAACTGTTGCAATATCATTTTAAAAAACTGTATTCATGTATCGATCACTTCTGTATGTATCTGTATATTATGATGCCTCATACTGCTCAGACTTACGTTGCAATTTGTTCGCAGCAAATCCGCAAGTTGAGGCGTGAACTGGAAAACTCCCAGGAAAAGGTTGCCAACTTGACTATGCAACTTTCTGCTAATGTATGTATGATTTTTTTTGTTTTTTTTTCTTTTCATAAACTAATTTGTTAATGACTTGGATGCATGACAGATCTTTTATCAGAATGTTCAATCAATCCAAAATGTAAATTATATCCTTTTAAGTGAGTGTTTAACGGGTGTATCTTGTATCTGCCCTGCATTTTTGTGAGAGTGAGATATGGGGGAAAATTGCAAAATGAAGATCACATGAGTTGACTTTAGATACTGATGCTATTAGCTACTGATACCTCTTGCTTATGCCCAATATACAGTGAGTAAGGGCAACCCATAACAAAACATTCAGGATTCACCACCTTACCCAACACTCGGGTGTCACAGCAAACATGACATGTCTCCAGTTCGCTTGCTGCTACTCACATCCATCCACTTTTACTAAAATCTTTCAGCCTTGTTATCTTGGTGATGATAATGACATTATTTAACCTTAAACCTTAATACTCACTTTTAACTCTTTACCTAACAAATTTCCCACCTCTGCTTTTTCTAACTTTCTCACTGTGCGGCACATTTTACTCACTTGCCTTGCTAAACCATCAACTAACCTGGATGTTTTGCACATATGAAGTGACTGTATGACTGTATGTTTTTATGAGACGTTTTTTTATCACACCCCTAATGCTCCTGTCCCTTTCTCTTACACTCGTGGCTGTATTGACCGCTGGACTCGCTGCTGCCACCTGCTTGCCTCCCGCTGACCCGCACCTCTGGATGCTGGGTGTAGCAGCTAGGCCAGGTTTGTTGGACTGTTGCTTCCAGAGCGCTCTCTGTCGCTTCCTCATGATTCTGAGTGGACGTCAAGCTGACGACTTGCTGTCTCACATCTCTGTTGGGCTTTTTGTGTGGCACAGTCGACCCTCAACACCTACCTTGTAGCATGTGACTAGGGCTACAGCTAATGATTATTTTTATCCAAAAATCTATCGACTGTTTTGTAATTTATTTATTCACCTTGTAAAATGTCAGAACGCAGTCAAAATACTTTCTAATCATTTCTCAGATCCCAATGTGACGTCTTCAAATTTTTTGTTTTGTTCGATCAGCAATCAGTAACAATGACTATTCCTGATCATTTCCTTAAATTTGAAGGGTTAGTTTTGGAAGTAAGTTAATAGAGACAAGAGAGAAATGCAGTCTTGATACAAGCAAACTGTAAGATAAGGACTTACCGGTGATGTAACACGCTTTAAAGGAGCCAAAATGCAGGTCTGCTGCTCTTAGGAAAAACTGAACAGGTGACTGAATTTTAATTAAGTATTTATGACTGTTACAACCCCCACAAAGGGTCGTTTTTTGTGTGACCCCAAAGAAATACCAAAGCAAAGTATCAACGTAAAGGATTGAAGAACAGAATGACAGGCTGTCTGGATTTCTCAAAAAGAAGGGAAGACAGTCAGGCCAACCACGCAACAGGCATGTATGTTGGACCCGAGTGCTTTCTCTATACTACCAAACCAAAGGAAAACGCTGAAGAGAAATAAAGCCACAAAAACAGGGCTAAACATAATTCCTTGACGAATACAATATGATGCGCCGGCGATGGATTTTAGAAGACACTGTAACACTCCGTCATCAGCAGGATTGGTGTAAGCCTAAAGGTCAAACATGCAACATGAGGTTGACGAGGTTTGTCGCCCAGTGCCACGCCGCTGCCCTCCTTCATCACCATTACCCTAACGTCCTCTTTCATCTCTGACATCATCCACAGCTGTCCGCCACTCCATCCCCTCCCTCTTTTCCCAGCAGACGGAGAAAGCCATTTGCTTGATGTGCTGTGAGCGTGTGAGACTGCAGACCAATTTGATTCAGCTGGTGACTCATACCTGTCTGCTGTCCCCTCCCCCCCCCCTCCCCCCACTGTCTGTCTTTCTCTCTCTCTGCCTCCTTCTACCACTGTGTCCGTCTCTTAAAGGCTAATCTGGTAGCAGCATTTGAGCAGAGCCTGGCACTGATGACTGCACGCCTGCAGACCCTGTCCGTCTCCTCGGACCAAAAGGTATCTTGGTGATATATGATGCTAATAAATGTTGTACCACCTGTGACAGTTTCCTCGTAGGTATGTGAGGAAAAATGAGGAAAAAAAGTTCATCACATCTGAAGACATACTTGAATGAATACTTGATGATGATGACAAACTATTAGTCTGATCATTATTCAGCTCCTTTACTGCATATTAGATCCTGTCAGTGAAAGAAGTTACCAGGTGACATAGCTGCTCTGGAAATGAGATGTGGGTCAAAGGTTTGCATGATGGGATTTCCATGTTGTCATCAGCCACTCAACGCAACCTGTCATCCTCATTGAAAGCAGATAGACATTCCACAATCCTCGGATCAGAAGAATCTTGGTTCAGTTACCAGTCTGCAAGCTAACATGAATACCTGTTAATGTTTCACCTCTTCAGGACTCTGAGCTCACTGAGCTGAAGGAGACCATCGAGGTTCTGAAATCCAAAAACACAGAGGCCCAAGAAATCATTCAGGGGGCTCTCAGTAATCCAGACATCACACCCAAAGGTACATGATATGCTAAGGATGAAGAGTATGACTGTTGAACAAAACAAACAGATGGAAAGTTTCAATTTGCTCTCTTCTCTCCTGGTTGTCAGAGCTGCTGATCAACCGGCAGAACTCCTCAGAAAGCATCTCCAGCCTCACCAGCACTACCAGCCACTCAAGCATGGGTAGTCTTAAAGAGCAAGAGGCCAAGAAGAAGAAGAAAAAGAGCTGGGTGAGGACTCACAGGCAGACATACACTGATTAGTGGTGGTCAGCAATACTGTTAGGCGTATCAGATTTTTATCAGACATTTTGCAAATTTGTTTGAAGTTATTTTGGAGCACCAGAGGATTGAGGTTTACCACATCAGGAGTCAGCAAACCGATCCACAAAAAATCCACACATATGCTAGCCCAAATAAATTGAAAGAACAATTTGCAGTGGTTCATGAATCAGATTTTTCCTCCAGATCAGCAGAGAAAGTGATGAAAGTTACAAAACCACTTTTGTATAACTCTGCTTGTTAGGTTGGATATGTTTTAGATGTTTTATCAACAGCAAATGAACCAAACTGAAATCAAATCTAGTGACTGTCTTGATTAGCACTAGATTATTATAAGATTCAAAGTTTGTATGTGTCACATGGTCGCACAATACATACAGTGAAATGCATGGTGACATATTAGGCTGGGATTTAATAACTGATGAAGAAAAAGAAATATAAAGGATAAAAATAAGAAATGGAAAATCATAAATTAATATAAGTTAAGTATTAAAAGGATTCCTTTCTATTGGCCTAGCATGTGGGTGGCATTGAGCTATCATCAGTTTTTGTTGCAAGTTGTATTCAGTCAACTGCTGTCCTAGTTTGTGCCCCTGCATGTGTACATGCATGATTCTCCTCCTATCTCGTTCCACATCTGTTATTAAGTATGACTCTGGTCTCTCCCTCATGCTGCCCTGCTTTTTATTTTAGGTCTTTGAGGTGAGTGACGTTGCTACAGTAAATAAACCCCCTCCCCTTCTCCAGCCTGCATGCACTTTATGAGTCATACTTGTGAAACGCTTGGAAACTTTCTGTCATCCGTGTCTTTTTAAACTTGATTCACCGAATTACTTAGTACCATGTACTGATCATATTAAAATGTAAAATGAAATTATGGAATCATGGTTTTATGTATTGATATAATCTGCAAGCCATTTAACTGTAGACATCAAATGGCTCAATGAAGAAACTCTACACTGAGACAGTTTCTCATTTTATTCACGCATTTCATGTATGTATGCTGTGAGCATTATTGACTGATATGTTTTTAAATAATTATATCAATTTTAATTCCTGAAAGTTCAATATCACACCAAGTTATAGTTGGACATTTAGGCCCAGTGTGTTGCCACTAAAATATATAAAGTTAACAGGAAACAACTGTTGTAGTAGTTGTTGTTTTCACATATGTCCTTCTTGTCCGTCTCATATTTCTTCTCTAAACAGTTACGCAGCTCCTTCAACAAGGCTTTTAGTAAGAAGGGCTCCAAGTCAGGCCCATACGCTGACATCGAGGAGATTTCCACCCCAGAATCCTCTGCACCTTCCTCCCCCAAGGTCCACCATGACGGTGATAATCCTCCATCAACGATGAAATCCTCAACCTCTGCATCATCATCCGGGTAAACCTCTACCTACAATGATCTTTTAAACTGACACAACAGTTAAATACCAAAGTAAGTACTTAGAATTTCACTTCAACAGATAAATAAATTAGATGTTACTGTCAGTTATAGATGTAAAAGTAGATAGGTACTTTATGCTTTCTGTAAACATATGTTACTGCCTCTGTTTATTTGTTGAACGTGAACAAGGAAGAAAAGACTTGAAAATGAGGTTTTTTGCCGTCAGTCTGCTGATCCTTGCTACCTTCAGTTCTAAGATGTAATCTTATTTGAACTGAATGTGTCCAGACTCTGTGAAGGAGGTGATGGGGGGGATGAGAAGGTTGTAACAGAGCTGCGCTCAGAGCTGTGGGAGAAGGAAAGAAAACTGACAGACATCCGCCTGGAAGCTCTAAGCTCCGCCCATCAGCTGGAGCAGCTGCAGGAGGCCATGAACAGCATGCAGGTATGTGTGATATGTTCCTTTTCATTATTTCTAGTTTATTACTTTTCTCATAAAAAAAAGAAAAGTTATGGTGATATCTGTGTACAGATATTTGGAGAAGCTATTTTTTTTTCTTTTTTATAAAAATGCAACTGCATCTCTAAATTTTCTCACTTTAATGTGTGAAAAGCCACTTTAGTTGCACGCCAAGGTTCACCAAACAATTTATTAGTAGTATTAGTATTAGTAATGTGGGTTGTCCTTTTTTTATTGTTTCCAAAAATGTGATCTTATGATAGTTAATGTGTAAAACTCTATATTTCCTTCATTGCTAATATTCTTTTCAGTCGACAGAAAATTATTGCTATGTTACTATGTTTTGTGTAGAGGACAGTGGAAAACCTGAAGGCTGAGAACGACCAGCTGAAGACAGGTGGTCTGTCCCCCTGTCCATCTCCTGGGCCCTCCAGCTCTGCCTCCCAGTCCTCAGGTCTCACGGCTCTGGGAAGTTCATCACCTCGACAGTCAGTAGCCATGCAAATGCCCAAGAGCTACAGCAGAGGGATGAGTGAGGGGGGCACCTCAGGTACAGTTCAGTGCCTGAAAATGCAACGTTTTTACCATTGATAGACATGGGGCACAGCACTTAGATTAAATGGTATTTACAAACACAGGACAAAAGGAAAATGTGTGTAATGTCGATATTTAGAGTTTCTATCTTCTGCATGTGCTCATATTACAGCAAAAAAAAAAGTCATAGTGTTGTATTTTCACCATTTTTCTAATAACAATTATTAATCTTCATTTAGGCTATGAAAATCAAAAAAGGATTTTTTATTTTCTTTATTTTCTTTTCTTCCTTTTCTATCCTCTCTGTTGTTGACTCCTCGGTAGATGTCCACTCTGCAGATTCTCTCAGCCTTTCCTCACAGAGAGATGATCACCGTGTCAGGGTGGTGATTTGTGTCGCAGATTTACACGTCTTCAAAGATGTAAGTAGGTTGTTTGTCTTCAGACTAATTACTTACAGACCAATTACGAGCATCGTAGTAAATCTCTGTGTTGCACTTCTTATCAACAGGAGGTTAAACAGCAGGATTTCTTTGTGGGCACTGTCAGGGTGAATGGCAGGATGGACTGGACTATGCTGGACTCAGCGGTCAGCCAGGCTTTCAAGGTGAGATGCCTTCATCTGACAGCTTGGTTCAGTGTGGTCTGAACTGAATGTACAGTTTGTATTAAGCATGTTCACGTTTGTGATTCAGCTGTCACATTAAATTTAGCATGTTGTTACTTCTGAGGGTTTGAACTATTGCACAGTGGTGAAGGCTGAGATACAGGAATAGCATACTTCCACTGAAGTAATGTTTTGATTTGAAATAGACAAACATAGTAAAAGAGGTATTTAAATTTACAGTCTGAAAGGTAATTTAACAAGGTTGTCCAGGTCTTTCTAGAAGGGAATTGCTGGGTTCTTTTTTTTTGTTACGGTATCAAATAAAGACGAAAGGGCCCATGAGCAGGAGCTTGTAACAGATCATATTTACTTTCAACTTTGACATGTATCTAAGTCAGTTCTGAAACATCACAAGGGGCAGCTGGGATCATTTTGTGTCATTTTGTATGCTTTCTGTCCTCAAACACAAATTCGATCCTTTTCCTTCCAGGTGTACATAGCCAAAGTGGATCCCACCTCCAGTCTGGGCCTGTCTACAGACTCCATCTACAGTTACAGTATGGGCCACATAAAGAGAGTGCTGGGAGGAGAGGCTCCTGAGACCCAGCCCTCCCGCTGCATGTCCCGAGGCCCCAGCAGCATCACTGTGTCTCTGAAAGGTGTGTGAAGACACGCAACATGTACAATGATACTTCCAAAGTACATTTATCCTTTAGAAAATGTATTTATGATCTCATTGGATTAAACTGAACATATGTTTTAAACAGACAGTTGAATTCAGCACTGTTAACATAATTTTAAAAAAAGGCTTTTTATACTCAATCAGAAATTTGGGCTAGTGAGGAAAACTTATTTATGCAAGCACTCAAATGTTTGTCGTCTTTCTGCGGCAGAGCCTAGCGGAGTCAGTCCAGCTTACATTTTCAGTGTCAGCTCTCAATTATGAAATCATTAATCTTTCGATAAAAAGCTGCATCCACACAGATCAATTTTGATGGTTTCTTTTGTCAGTCAGAACTTTTGCATCAGCTGTGTTGTGCAGTGTTTATTTGAAGATCCATGTCAGCTGAGTGCAAATCCTCATGTCTGTCTGCTTATCAGGGCGACTGCATGTGGCCCTGTCTGTCTGTATGTCAGAGAGACATACAGCAGACTTTTTTTTCCCTTAACAACTCCTCCTTACGTCCCACATGTGTTCAGTTACATTGAGCTGTGAACTGTCCTCAAATGACCCTGTGGCAGCTGATGAACTCACTAATTCAACAACATTAAAATATGGTTTTCTGAAAATAGATTTTTCTTAGTTATTTTACATGAATTTGGTTATATTATGCATTCACTCCAAACATTAACACTACAAGTGCAAGTATATATGTGGATAATATACAATATATTTCAATAACAGCAGTGTTTTGGTTTGCGAGTAGCACATATGTGAAGCCCATTAATGACTCTCAAGCAGAGCTGTGATCAGTGAGGAGCGTTGAGATTCTGGTTTGGTAGTCGACACTGCGCCTTTGCATGCAGGAATGCAAGGAGTGACGTGCTAGGAGAGCTGGGAAAGCAGCGGCAGTCCAGACAGAGTTCTAGGTAACATGAGCCCAGCGTAGCCAGGCCCAGCTGGTCGACCAGCCTCAGACACATGGGCCCCATAGATGTTAAGGTGGAACATTACACTCCTGCAGGCCGGTGGAGGGTGCTCAGACTCACTACAGTTGACGCAAAGTTATTTTCAGACCAAAATGCTTGAGCTCCATGTTGCTTACGAAGGACATGGGAGGTGATATAAAACCATTTTTTTCCACAACATCTTCTTGCCCCAGTCCTTCCTGTTTGTAATGAATATTCTTTCTGGGATACATATTAACATAATTCTTAACAAGTATTTGAATATCAAGTATCAAAACTGCACTTCATTACCAATTCAAATATGTCCTGTGAATTTGCAGGTAGTCATCAACTTCGCTGTTTATTGATTCTCACTTTTCCCTCACTATGTCCAGGTTTGAAGGAGAAGTGTGTGGACAGCCTGGTATTTGAAACTCTCATTCCCAAACCCATGATGCAACACTACATCAGTCTGCTACTCAAACACCGCCGTCTCATCCAGTCTGGACCGAGCGGGACGGGTAAGACCTACCTCGCTTCCCGGCTGGCTGAGTACCTGGTGGACCGCAGCGCCCGCGAGGTCACTGAAGGCATCGTGGTCACTTTCAACATGCACCGCCAGTCGTGCAAGGTGACAGAAACTGATGAACCCGAACAACAGTGGCTTATTTGGTGTAATGTTGTCAGCTTCCTGTTGTCATCCTCTGTCCCCCTCTCTCTTTCTCTCCCCAGGATCTGCAGCTTTATCTTTCCAACTTGGCCAATCAAATAGATCGAGAAACCAGCACATCAGAAATACCACTGGTAGTCATTCTGGACGATATTCACGATCCTGCTTCCATCAGTGAACTCGTCAATGGTGCTCTCACCTGCAAATATCACAAATGGTAATCTCCACATATGGAAAATGGCTGGAAAAATATTCATATAAATATTAATATAACATTATTGTTATATTAATAGTAATTATTGATATAATCAAACAAACGTATATGTGTATAAGATGTGTACAATTCTTCATTTCAGTCCTTACATTATTGGAACAAGCAATCAGCCAGTGAAGATGACTGCGAACAACGGCCTGCACCTCAGCTTTAGGTTGGTTGGAGAAACACTCCTCTACTTTTGTACTTGCGTGTTATGGTCTGTGGATGAATTCCTTCTGAGTATGTTGAGATTAGGTTTGAAGCTCGCTGTAGAATAAACCAGTCAATACAATAAAAGCGTCTGTTAGCAAGTCAATGATAAAGTGTGAGTTAATGTGTTGCTAGTGTTTGATTTAATAAAGTTCGATTTCAGTCAGTGCTGTGAGGACTAATAATGACTTTACTTTGTTATGTTTGAGACTCGGTGAACAAAAATATTTAATAATGTAACTACAATAACAACAGAAATAAACTTTTCACTGTAACTCATACCTTTTGAAAAGAGAAATCTTCTATGTTGTGCTACTAAAGGATTTGACAAGATTTTGTTAAGTTATACAGAACGTCACAGATTGCATTGGAAATATTTGGTTGAATGCTACTGTCTCACTGATGAAGGGAGAGGATACAGCTATGTGAAATGGAACAAGATTTAAATAAAAACCTGTTTTGATAATAAATGAATATTTCTGATATTGATCATCTCATTTGGTTTTCACTGTCAAAATATGGCAGGTGCTATATATAGAGCACAGTCCAGTTTTCCACCAGTCCCTCCCTACGGCTACAGCTTGAATCTAATGTTGATGTAGATAAGAGGGATAAAGGACTAGCCGGCTGATGTACACATCCATTTGTCTGTATTGTGATGTGATTTTTTGCTTGTGCCTTTCATTTTCTTAGGATGGTGACCTTCTCCAACAATGTGGAACCAGCCAATGGCTTCCTGGTGCGTTATTTGCACAGGAAGCTGATGGAGTCGGAGGACGAGAAGAACCTGACCAACGAAGACCTGATCAAGGTGTTAGACTGGGTGCCCAAACTCTGGTATCACCTTCACACCTTCCTGGAGAAGCATAGCACATCAGACTTCCTCATTGGTATGAAACTCTCTAGACAGGTCAAAACCCTAGGGCTGCGGAAAGCTTTTTTTATTTTGTGGGGAGTATTGACTCTGTGTGTCCTCATGGTACTTTCTTCCTCCCTTGTGTCCTCAGGCCCATGCTTTTTCCTGTCATGTCCAGTCACAGTAGACGAGTTTCGATCATGGTTCATTGATCTTTGGAACCACTCTATTATTCCATACCTGCAAGAGGGAGCCAAGGATGGCATCAAGGTGAGAAACGACACGTAGCAAATCGGGAAAGCTATCTCCAGCTTGCAGTAGATTCCTCCTCAGGAAGTGTTGTTGGCTTCGCTTTCACAGGAGATGTTACGCTCTAATTTTACTGTTGTGGTATGTTGTGACACTTAAGGTCCACGGCCAGAAGGCGGTATGGGAGGACCCAGTAGAGTGGGTGAGGGGCACCCTGCCTTGGCCGTCTGCCCAGCAGGACCAGGCAAAGCTCTTCCACCTTCCTCCCCCCAGTATTGGCTCCAGCAGCCCCAGTCAGCCCTGTGAGGAGAGGCCTCACAAGGAGACTCCACCCAGCTCTATGGAATCTGATCCACTGGTTAGTATTTTACACATTTCATGATATTTTTTGTGTTTTCTCAGAATTATAAGCTTTGTTGTTTAATTAAAACCGGAATGGGTCTTTAGGATTTCTGATTTTTGGCTTCTTCTCTTCTTTGTTGTAGATGGCAATGCTTTTGAAACTTCAAGAGGCTGCCAATTACATTGAATCCCCAGACAAAGAAGACCCTAGCCTGCCTAAACTTTGAACACAAAGCCTACACTTTAACACTTAGCACTTCAAATTTTATTTTTCCCTCCACTGTACTGAGACAGTGCACGTTCAGGAACAAATGAACCCTCAGAAATGGTTGTAAGGTGATTTAAACCGTCATTTCCACCGTAAGTTAAAAGTGTAACTGGGTCATTACAAATCATTTTAATACATACAGTATTTTCAAAAACTGTTCACAAGTATTGGATGAAAAGCTATATTCCATTACATTCCTATGTATTTGACTGGATGACATTCATTTGAGTTCAGATCCCTTTACCCCCATGTTGTCCCTCAGTGCTCTTAGATCGGTGCTAATAGATCTATGGAGCTCATTTTCTCAGCACTTAGACTTCAGGTGATTCCTGCAACAGCACATACAGTCCATCCCGTGTTGTGCTGAAGTGCTTCATGGGATATGGGGTGCTTGTCAGCAGGAGCTATTCTCAATTAATGGTGACTCATTTTGGAAAAGAGTATGACAGCATGACAGATGCTACTGTTTTTTGCAAAGTTCTTTGGTACATATCGACTGTATAAGTCTCTGAAGGCCAAATCTTATACATATGCAATCCTGAACTTTACAACCCGAGCAGGTGAAACAGATAAAAATGCCTTAAGAACAAAGACGTCAAAATCACCTCAACTTCAACAGAGTGCACTGGTGCTTTCATCAACATCATCCCAGCTAAGACAGTCAGAAATCAGTCATTTTTTCAGCTTTATAAATAATTTATTTCAATTAATCATCTTTATTTTTCAGAACAATAATTATACAACAGTGTAGGATCAAATTGCAGTGCTAATTTTCACATATTTGTACATCTACTTTTATGGTTTATAAGTTTGAAAATGAAACTTGCTGTCATACTCTTTTTTGCATACAACAAAACGTATTTATTAGGGATGTGAGTTCATTAATTTGTCGTACCATTTTTCCCAAGCACTTAATTTAGTTTTATTAACTGCTTAATGTAAAACAAGCAGTATCACCAATGTTGCTATATATAAATATATATAAATATATATATCTATATATATATCTATATATAGATATATATATAGATATATATATATCAGGTATTAGATACTTAATACACAGGGATAATATAACATAACAAACACCCTCTGACTAAACAGATTGAGATGATGCTATTTGAATCCAATTCAGATTTCTTTGTCGATACAGTTTATCCAGGAAAGATTATGTGTCAAATCTTTCCCCCCATGTTTAGAATAGTTACTGTATATATTATGTACATACAATCAGGCTACATCACAGTTATTTTATCTACATTAGTTGGTGCAAATATCTAATATACTGAACCAAATACTGTACTTTAGTCATGCATATTGACTGTCAAGTAAAGGGTTTAAGTTTAAACAATGAACATATAGAAAACACTTATAAAACAACCATATAACAGTATCAATCATCTAGTAGGTGCTTTTTAAGGAAGCCTTATCACAAAGCTCCACTGCAAAACACTTCTAACAATGGCTGAGTAGAGTGACTTTAAAGCTACCTATGCCCATTTCATTTGCAACAGTTCCTGCACTCCACAAACTGAGTTACAAATCTGCTTGTCATCCTCATTTAGGTGCGTATAGTGCTCTTTAACAGTGTCCCAAACTTGTAGTGTTGAATAAAGATTATGTAGACGTTCGGGATAGGTTAGCAAAGAGTTTTGTGTCATAGATCAGTCGAACGCTAAAGAAATGTGAAATTGATCTGGGAGATGATTTCTGGTATATTTAAGACGTGTTGTTGACCAAGTGTTGAAGACATTACGTAGAGGCAGTGAAGTCATGTGACACATTGTGTGGTGTACGCCCATGTTGATGTCGTACGGTATTCATATTTGAGAACATTTTGGGTACACGACAAAGAAACCAACAAATTATGAAGAGTAAAAAATGGGAGATTAAAAGACTTTATAAGGTACTTTGTGTAGATTTTTGTAAAGAGCCCTAATGGAGTAAAAGACAGATAAAGCTTATGGTTGTGCAAGTGGTGTCGAAATAATTCATCTGTTCATCCCACACTGTGTCATTGTTTAGGAGCTCAGACTAAACCTCACATGTACGTAAACCCTGTAAATGAATGTCAGACCACTTTTATGACAGCTTAACGCGAAAGTTGAACATTTTAAATGGTGTCTGAGCTGCCCATTGCTTCATTATTGCACTGTTTGCATAAGGCTGATAACGAAACTTCAAGCTTATCCGTAGCTCTGATTGGTCGCCTGCAAACAAAAAAAAAAAAGAATGAATTAAATACATTACAGAGGAAAAGATGCCAAATGGTTGGTGAGTCTCACCCTGGCCATATGCCGTTTGAGAATCGTTTCCGTTATTGTAAATATTTCAGATATTAGACAGTATTACCGAATCCCACCATGATCTGTTTCTGCAGGTTAACAAAAGCCATCAGCTCGAGCTTCTCATCTCATTCACTGGTTGTTGTGCCTGTTGCTCTGTAGTACTGTAGCTGTGATTTGTGTTTGCTTACTAGTGTATCAGGACTATGCAGCAACTTCTACTGGTGTTGGCGATCAGCAAATGTCTGAACTTCACGAGCAAACGCGGTGTGTTTTCATCTGGTCTGTCTTTGAGTTCTTAATTCGGACCAAACTGCACCACAGGATAAAAGTGGAAGTTTGCCTGAGCAGGTGATACTGAGCCTTAAAGAGAGGAGGATTTGTTTGGCGTTGCATTGAAGACAGGGTTCATGGTTGTAGTTCAAGAAATTCAGCTATTTGGAAGCTGTTTCATGTGTTTTGTCCTTATGAATGGCAAGAAAAGTAACGCAACTGGATTTGTGAATGGTCAAATGACGATAAACAATTAAAGATGATTAAGAATCAAATTATGAGACTGAAATAGTTGGCAAGAATCAGCTCTTCACTGTTTGCATAGTTGATTTTAAGTAGAAATAAAGCAGATAATAGGATAAATCGGAATATCTTAGGCCAATACAGGTTGCTGAATAGTCATATTTTTGCAAAGCTTGTTGTGGACTAAACTAAGATTTCAAAAAAAAAAATGTTATGCGATATCTAATGTCACTGACGTGCAAATGTTAAGGGTTTCTAAGTGTTGTAAATGCATGTAAACTTGCTGTGTGATGAGGAAAAAATGTTAACATTGATGTATTGTTTAGGAAAATCATTCTAGATAATGTTTTCCTTTTTAATACTCAGATATTTGATATTTCTTTTTTTTCTAAAGAATCCTTTGTAAAACTTAATTTCTCTATTTTGTACAGGACATCATTGTAAAGATTGTAAATAGGTCAGCATTCTGGATGCGGCAACAATCATTGAGGAGGGAAAAAAATGATTGAGGGAAAGGTATATTTCTTCAGAGTTGGGTCCAATACATGGATAAGGCATGCTTCTGAAAGCTTTCATCCACCTATCACTGTTTGTTGGAATCAATAAAATACATGTTATATTTATTCTGGCTCCTTGTGTGTCAATTTGACAGTGTTGACCCTATTAATAGAACTGCATCAGTCCTCTAGTAGTGCATAGGCCTTAAATAATCATGAATCATATCAATTTTATATTGAATTTGCCACATTTACAGTACTCAGTGCTTAATGGAAACTTCACTAAAAAAGAACAGCTAAGAAAATAATCCTTGTATTAGCCTGAATTAATATTATAATTATAACATAGTTATTAAATGTGTTTAAAATCCAGCAATGTTTGAGTAAAGCAGTAAAGACCAATTGAAAGCAAACTTACTATTGTATTTTATATATATGTTCTCATCTTTATATATTTCTATTTATTCAGGCCATATTTTATATAATAAAAGAGGTAATGATGTGCAATGAATGTTGATGAGTGAGACACATAGACATAGCGGTCTGAGTCATACATGGTGCCCAGTATCTGTTACATGTAATTCACGGTGGGCGGTGCTTGAACCTGCCCAGCTCTATATAACCCTTCCGCCCCCACAGGAACGATGGCATTGGATACAGTGTTAAGGACTTAACCGCGTTGGGAATTAGCTGCAACCTCCATCATGCCGTCCAAGCCTGCCCCAATCAAGAAGGCGGCTAAGAAAGAACCAGCCAAGAAGGAGGAGGAGAAGGCCCCTGAGCCCGCTCCCGAACCGGCCCCAGAGGTGGCTCCCGAACCCGCTCCTGCCGAGGCTGCCCCCGCCGAGGCCGCTCCTGCCGAGGGCGCCCCAGCCCCCGCTGAGGGCGAGGCTGCACCTGCCGAGGATGCCGCTGCTGCCCCGCCAGCTGAGGAGCCCAAAGCCCCCACCCCTCCACCCCCAGATGGTAGGCGCAGCGGCGTGTGAGCCTTGAGTTGCCGTCGGTCATACAAGCGTACACCCCACCTCTATTTTCTTAGTCTAGTCGCGGTGGGTGAACGCTGGATACTTTGTTCAACACTTTCCGAAGCCTAAGTAGTCGGTTCAGTTCATGTTAAGCACGCGGTAACCTTTACGCACGTGCGCTTGTGCGCGCTCATTGTGAAGGTGCTGTGGGTAAGAAGATCTAGCCATGTAGACAAAACGGAAACTGCATGGTCACTTACTGCACACTCCACCTGCTTGGACTCTTACAGCTTTTAACTGCCTCATTTCTAAAAGTCACTTAAAGTCACTGACGCGGTTCAAGGACGCTCTGCCTTCATTGTGCTACTTCAGTGAAAGATCCACGCCTCACAAGCAAACATTAACAAACCCAAATATCTAAATGAGTTGAGAAAAAACGTCACTGATTTGCTGTGCTCACATTACAGAATAATGTATAGCTCATATGAACGACACTTGTTCAACTTTCTTTACAATTCCTAATATTTAACACCATCTTCAGTGAATAGGATTCATTCATTTATGATCTAACATCCTCATCAGCTGCTCCAGTTGATGAAGCTGCTGCTCAGCCACTGTCTCTCTTTTTACCACCTAACTCACTCATTTCTGTTCATTTTAACTTTTGCTTTTTTTGTTGTTGATAGATTTAACCCCCTGTTTTGAAAATAATATGAAATATTTTCAAAATGTTGTATGTATATATATACTCATATCTTCTAACCTCTAATATCAGCGGCTGCACCTGCTGCAGAAGAATCACCAGGTGCCGCCGCTGCTGCCGAGGCCCCAGCTGGTGGTAGGACTCATGAGCCGTGTCAGATCTTATATGAACCAACAAACTCTTAAAAACACTAACTGACTCCTTTATAACACTTTGAACATAGCGTGCAGTCTCAGCACACACATTATCATCTGTTAGAACACGTCTCATCTGCTTAATGCACTAATTATTCATACCTCATATTTAGTAATAGCTGCAGCCACAGAGGAAACTGCTGCTGCTGCTGCTGACTCTGAAGCAACTGCAAAAACAGAACATGTTCCTGTTCTCTTCTCTCTCTTAACTGTGAATATTTGGATTTATCATTGGAAACGAATTGGATGAACAGCCTGTGATCATTGTAAATCATTTGACCTCCCAGTAAAGGAGACAGAGAGCTGTGAAGTAAACATGTAGATTATATTTAATGCTGCTGTATCGCTCTGCTCATCACATGCTGCCAATAATAATGCAAATGCTTATTTAACATTAGCTGAAGCTGGTGAGGCGCCTGCACCAGAAGAGCCTAAAGCACCCACACCTCCACCACCTCCACCCAAAGGTAACCCTTCATTTAAAGGAAAACTTCACTTCAGTGTGACGTGATTCTCCTTTCATCATTTGTTCTTTCGTTATTACAGCGTTACGTTAAAGAACTGCACCATCTTGTGACCTCCAGCTTTGAACCGATTTCTGTATGATTTGGGTGCGTTTCTACCACCTGTCATTGCCAGTTCAATAATTTTATGTTGTCACGGCATCTGCAGAGCCCACAAGCGCTCCTCTGGATATGTTCGTTGAGGACAAGAACGACACCTCAGTTACCATCATCTGGAGCCAGCCAGAGACCGTCGGCCTGTCCGGTCTGGATGGATACACCATTGAAGTCTGCAAGGATGGAAGTAAGCCCTGCTCTGCTTTGGACCAGGTGCACCGCACACTGGCTCGTGCACGGATGGGGTTAGATTATTAATACACTGTGACAAAAATGCCAGCTGACCTTTTTAATTATTTTTCAAAACTTTTATTTCAAAAGCCTATTTTAGGTTTTGATATTAACTATCCTTATACAGTACGACTGCTACGTGTTGAGGTGAATTTTAAATACACCCATATAACATGTTAAATTGCTGTTTTAATGTGGGTCAGCCATATCAGTTGCAGCTGTCCCTGAAGTGTCACTCGCAGAGTTATATCATGAGCTACCTTACTTCTCCCTACAAGGAAAGAGGCATTTCAGGAGCTGCTGTGGTCTCGCTGGAGGTCCTGCTTTTAGACTTACAGCCCTAAGCTAATATCAGCAGCAGTTCAATGTGGGCTTGATTTAGCAGCCAGGGCACGCCGTTTACCCACAGAACAGCAATTTCATCTCTAATACAAGAAATTTATGTCAAATATAGTCATTATTTTCATCACAAAGCTGAAAAGCGAGCAGCGCTTAGTCTCCTAATTTGTTAATTCTCAAGTCTCTTGTGAATCAGAGTAAATTCCTCTCATTCTGCCTGCCGTTTGCACATCCTTCACACTTAAATCACTGTTATTTATCCTTTAATGAAGAGATAAACAACAGCTTTATAAACCCTGCCAGTCTGTCTTCATTATGTATAATTTTCCCATGCAGCTGAGGACTGGAAAGCAGTTAACGAGGCTCTGCAGAAGTCCTGCCGCTACGTTATCAAGAACCAGACCACAGGTGACCGTCTGAAGATCCGTGTGGTGGCTGTGAACGCCGGCGGCCGCAGCCCCCCCGTCACCCTGCCCGAGGCTGTCCTGGTGAAGGAGGTGGCTGGTAAGAAGAAGTGTTCGCAAAGATACATTTTAGCTCAGAACAGAACATATAGTAAAGTGTATTTTCAACAGAATAAATGAACCACTTACTCGGTTGTTCTCTCACTCAATCGCAATAAAATGAAGGATAAGAACAGATGCATCATATAGATGAGTAACCTATCAATATACACAGGAATGAGTGAAAAAAGACTTTGCAAATGAGTTGTTGATAAAAAAAACATAAAAAAGAAGAGGAGCCATAAAATGCAGAAAAGTGAGAACATTTAAAATGCTAAATATGTGCAGTACAGACTTCAAAGCCTTTTGTTCTATATACAACACGAGGCACTGAAACACAAATTAAAAGCTACTAATACTGCATAAAAATGTGTACTGATACACAAATGAGTGACACATCAGGCTCTAAAAGTCATTATTTGGCCATTTTCTCTGAAAAATTCTTTTAAATTTAGCAGCTAAAATGTGGGCGTCAGGCACAACACGAGCCTGGTCTTAACTCCCACATGACGAAAGTTATAATCAAATCCAGACAGGTCTAATTGTAATGTAAAATAGATGTTTTAATTTCTACAGTTCAAGAAGGAAAGAAAACACTTAACAAACTGAGTGATTGAACTTTTTCTGATGATCAGATTAATCCATCTGTAAAATATGTGAAAACAAATATGGGACACACCATTTGACACAGTGTCTGGGCTTAAGCTTTACAGAGCGATTTATTAATGGAATGGGGGGGGGGGGGGTTGTAAAGTGCAGGAGTCAAAGGGAAACAGCTCAGCAATGTTTTCCTTCAGCTGTCCGTGTTCTGTTGGCACATACCTGCAGAGTTAACGGTATAAAACTATGGTCTTCTCACTCATTTCCACTTTGAGTTGAAACGCCGATCCAACCGAGCACAGTGCGATAATTACGCACTTGTTAAGTGGGTGGTTTTACTAATGCTGTACAGCTTACAGTGTTAATCATAGACATTATATGTAGAGTGATTTGTGGTAAAATAATGACTGGACCCCGAGGACTTTAAAAGGAGGAGCTGCGTTACTTTGGCTCACTCACAAATCATCGTTATGCGTAATGGAGAGTCGGACAGGGAACTTGATCCCTGCTGGACTGGCAATATTTCAATAATCGTGTCCATGTTCACCGCTTGTGTTCACCATAGCAGGCGGTCCACATATAGAAAGAACTTGTGAAATGTTTCCGACAAAATGACCACAAAGCTTTGGAAAAATAGCTGGGATGTCCCTGCTATTAACACGGATTTTTCTGTGGAAGGTTTGGCATTGCATTGTGATCCCTGCCAGGATTCATGCTGAGGGGGAAGCGTCAGGCTCCTTTCTGCAAGATCGATGGTGACAAGCAGGTGGGGGGGCGTGGGGGAGTAGAGGGGGTGGAGAGCACATTCCAGTGCGTCCAGTCTCTGAGTAGAGAGGGGGTGGTGGGTGTTGGGGCTGCTGGGTCTTGATCCAACTTCTCAGGTGACACCTAAATCTCATGACACTTCCAGAGATTCACTGTTTATTTTGAAACATGCCACAGACTTTACAGGTACAATGTTCATTAAGCCTAATCCTGTCCACATGAAGTGGTAAGACACTTAACCTGCAGTATGTTTATTCTAATATACAGACGTACTTTATTTCATCCCATTTTCTTTTCCTTTGGCACCAAATCATTTATGTTGCAGTTTATATTAACAGTTTCCTGCTGTTAAATAGCAGGGAAGTAATGTCTATGTTGCTGAACTTATCCATGATTTTAAAGCATTCTGATGCGAGTGGGAGTAACTGAAGCTCCGACTAATGCGTCACGAGGAGAGGCGATATACTACAGGATGTCTGCTTTATTTAGAGACCTGACAAATGTTGCTCTGCTGGACTCAGCAGGTGGTGCTTCTCACCAAATCACTTTTACAAATGAGCCCCGGCAAGATACTTGTGAGGCTTAAATATCACTTGAAACGTCTCGGTGGCTAACTATCCTCATGATTTTAGTGAGTTATTTTTAGCTTGGAGGGAGGTAAAGGTGGGAGCTGGGGTCTGTGAAAGATTTTACATCTAACATACCTTTACTAACTAAGCCACCAAGAGCGGTAATAGCCTGTGATATTCTAATAATAGTTCATATCTATGATTAATTACTTATTTACAGGTTTAAACTAAAATGTCTAGATGTTCCTTTCTGCTATTGCTACATACCTCACGTTAGCATTAACAGCTATTCACTTACCAGTCTAGAAGAAACGTTGTGAGTTCAGCATTAAACTTCATTCCTTAACTTTTCTCCGGTGGTGGAAGGCAACGCCAATGTCAACTCTTTCTGCTGAAATTAGCACACTAACCAGCTAGCCCGTCTCGTCACTTTCCGATAGCGACTCACTGTAGCCTCCGGTCTGCCCTGAAGACGTAGCGCTGCTTAGAGGGCAAATGATAACCTCTTGTCTTGTAAACGAGACGGTGGGCGAATCTGTTGTCAGGCAACAATCACCACCACCGGCTCCCGACAAGAAACCATGTTCATCAGCAGAGAAAACTTACCAATAACCTCTTTAAACAGGGCTCCCCAGTGTCCATAGACTTCCAGTATTATATACGACTCCTCATTTTATTTACCTTCATTATAATGTATAGAAAGCCCTTTGTTGCTGTAACATTAAAACATTAACCAGTTAAAGCACAGACACACCTTGATGGCACCAGTGAAACTTCCCTGACTCAGATGGGCTTAGATCAGCTCAGCATGCTAATCGATTTCCTCAAGATTTGTTGGTCACAAAAGGATCTGAAATCCTTTTGTTTCACTCACACAGATCCCAAAGATCCTGTTCAGGCTGTTTCTGTCCTTCACTGACAGACAGGGGAAGCAGCAGCAGATGAAAGAACATAAAAAAGGCTCTCAGTAAATGATGTGTAAATGCTGACTTACTGTAATAACAATCACTGATTGCTTCAGTCTGTGTTTTTCTCTCTAGACCGCCCCAAGGTTCGCCTGCCTCGTTTCCTCAGGCAGAGATACGTCGCTCACGTCGGAGACAAGATCAACCTGACCATCCCCTTCACAGTAAGCTGAATATGACCGCTTCTTCCTGTGTGTGCACGATGGATAAAACTAGGCTCAACTCTGTAAAACTTATTTGTCTCACCACCCGTCCCTCCTCTCCCAAGGGTAAACCCAAACCTGTGGTCTCCTGGACAAAGAACGGACAGCCTCTGGACACAAAGAGGGTGAACATCCGCAGCACTGAAAGAGACAGCATCCTGTTCATCCGTACGTCTGAGAGAGACGACTCCGGAGTCTATGAGATGTGCGTGAAGGTGGACGACTTTGAAGACAAGGCCTCACTCACCCTTCAAATTGTTGGTGAGCGAAATGTTTATATTGCGTGAGTGAGGAAATTCAAAACTGAAGTGTTTGATACTATAATCAGTGGCTGTTTGCTCACAGAGCTGCCAGGACCTCCTGCCTCTGTGAAGATTGCAGATACCTGGGGCTTTAATGTTGCTCTGGAGTGGACCGTACCCAAGGACAACGGAAACACAGACATCACAGGTTACACAGTGCAGAAGGCCGACAAAAAGACTGGAGTAAGTCGTTTTACAATACAAATGTACATTGATTATTCATAGAAGGATTCCAGTAGATTTATTCATCATGTCTTTGCTGTGTGTGTGTGTGTGTGTGTGTGTGTGTGTGTGTGTGTATGTGTTCACAGGACTGGTTCACTGTGATGGAGCATTACCATAGACTGAATGCCACCATCTCTGACCTCATCATGGGCAACACCTACAAGTTCAGAGTGTTTTCTGAAAACAAGTGCGGAATGAGCGAGGACGCCGCTATTACAAAGGAGGAGGCCAAGATCCTGAAGACAGGTACCTCTGAGCTTTTATTACTACTCAACAGCAGTGAAGTAAACACTGGAGGAATTCATTTATCACTTTATTCATCCCATCTGAAGCTGTTGTCTCATTTGTCTGTCCTTTACTTCCTAATTCTGAGAACTGTTGTGATGTCAGGGGAAGGTTTTCAGGAAATCCCTCATCGGCGAGGCTTAACCGATTGATTTACAGTATATCAGCTAGACTGTGCAGTAGCAGTTGTGTAGTTAATTCTCTTCCTTTGTGCAGGTATTGATTACAAGCCTCCTGATTACCAGGAGCACAACTTCACAGAGGCTCCCAAGTTCACCACCTCCCTGAGTGACAGAGCCACTACTGTCGGCTACAGCACCAAGCTGCTCTGCTCCGTCAGGGGACAACCAAAAGTACAGTAACAACATTTACCTTCTTCTTTCAATTCCAATTTAACCAACAGTACCAGCAAGATATTGTCTCATTTACTTTGGCGGCTAAGACACTAGAACTGTGTAGGTTTAAGGTTCGCTCGGATGATTTTGCATGTTTTAACCCAGTAAGCACAAACACTGCAGAAGGTAGAGGTGCAGTTTAAAAACATATTGGTATGTTTTGAGCGTGCATTCAATGTTTGCTCGATTAGACTGTAACACCAGTGGTACCAACAGGTTAAACCTTTGCCTAGACAACTTTTTAGCAGCTTAGTCATCATAATGCGGTGGTGCCTGGCCGTATTAAGAGTTTTTGTGGGTGGGTGTGTTTGCTCTGAGCTGACAATGCTGATGATCTTCACCTGCCTCTGTTAGCCTGCTGTCTGAGCCTCTCACCTCCTCTTTGGGATCATAACTCCGCCGGGTTGCCAGCAGGACGGTAACATAGATGGTCTTGATGAGAAGGTTAGAGTTTTGACGCAGGGGAGGCGGGGAAGAGGCCATAAGGGTTACAGGTCAGCTGGGAAGCAGGGTCACATGTGTAACATTCCCTGTGGGGCCCCAGGAGGTCCTCACCATGTCAGCGCCATTAAAACTTCCAAACTGGGTGTGTGCTGTGTGTCCACTTCAATCACCAGAGCTCCTCTCGTCAAGTGGCACAAACATAAATAGAAACAACACTTGCGCTTGTTTATTTATGAGATGTTTTAATATAATTACTTGTCTTGGAGGAAAGTGTTTTTTAAAAAATCACATTTTAATCATAATATAAAAATCTGTTTTTCTACAGCCCAAGGTTCAATGGATGAAGAACCAGATGATCATTGGAGACGACCCCAAGTTCAGGCAGATCTGCGTCCAGGGTATCTGCTCTCTGGAGATCCGTAAGCCCGGTAACTTCGACGGAGGTGTGTACTCCTGCAGAGCCAAGAATGATCTCGGAGAAGCAACTGTCAGCTGCAAACTGGAGGTCAAACGTAAGTCAAGATCTTGAATCTGAATCAAGATCTTCCGTCTATTTATGGGTGTAAACATTGTGTTTAGTTGTAGAGTTGTAGCATTTGCTTTACCAATATTTGAGTGCTCACCTTGTGAAAACTAACAACTTGTCTTTCTGTTGAACAGAGCCAGTGGTTGCAGATGCAGATAAGAAATAGGTCAACATTCTCATAATCACAGGTCAGAAATCATCAGGATCGTATATGAATATTGTCCTTGATTGTACTTGATTTTCGCACACAGACTACAAGTCAAAACAAATTAGAATCAACCTTGTTAACCTCAATCAAACCTTATAAACACGGCTGAGTTGTACTCTAGTTGTATTGTTAAATTTTAACTTGCTGTGCAATTTGCAATCACGGTTACTTGTGAAATTAATGTCACAAAAGTGGAACAATTAAACTGGATGTATTGGATATGTTGGTCTATATGGGTCCTGAGGTGACATCTGCCTTCTCCATGACTTACTTTCCATACATGGAGGGCACTAAACTTGGAAAAGGTGGCCTCTGCCACTGAAAGAGTCCAAGAGGTAGCAACCATAAATTAAATCTGTTATGGCTCCTCATGTACTTGGTTAGGAGACTTAATCACATTTCCATGACTCAGCAGTAGCAGCAGCAGCAGCAGCAGCCTCCTTTAGGACACGGAGATATTAGCATTTTATTTGCAGAACACTTAAAAGGTTTTTGAAGCTTTAATCCATGTAATGTTGCATTTTTCTTCAAAATTGAATTACTATATAAGTTATTTCTGATATATATATATTTATAATTTTAAAAATGCAGATATAACTTTGCTCAGTTTTCTTTCTCTCTAAAGTGATTCTCTCTGCCATTTCTGCAAATGCAGTTCTCACTCTTTCTTAACACCTGTTGCTGTTATTTGTTCATCTGTTGCAATCCCAAATTAGGAGCAGACGGAATGAGGCCTTTGCAGCCTAAGGTGCGTGACACTTTTAGCCAATCTAAAACCGGCCTCCACCATGATAAATCAAGAGTTCAAAGTTTAAAGTATTTCTTTATCTCTACAGGAAGGTGCTGGATTCCTGGAAGAACATGTACAGTATATATGGCTGGTGACCACACTACACGAGGGTTGTTGCCTGTGACCTCTTGCCAAGTGTTACCCGATGTTATGATGAACAATTGTTGTCGCTTTGCGTCTTTCCACTACATTATTAAGTCCATATCCATGTCCACAATCAGCTATTTCCCCAACGATACTGTCTATGGTAACTAAATTATCACATGGTCAAACACTATACCTCCCTAGTTTATCATCTTGTCAGTCTAACTAGGTGAATGCCAACAAAATCATAGCATGAATTTACTGTTCCTCATAGGAGATCTACATGTAACATCTACGTGTTTATATCAATAAATAATTTAATTTCTGGTTTTGTTTTTTCAATACAGTGTCTTTTATAAATTGAAATCTGCAGTAGAAATATTGTAAAGGCTTATTCTCAATAATAATAATAATAATAATAAAAAAATACTTTATTTGTAAGAACTTTTCAATATAGATAACAAAGTGCTTCACAAGTTTCTAATAATAAGTGGGTGATACATGATATTTACTTAAGAAATTCTTATCTTCCTTACAATTAATGCCAAATTAAAATTATCTTTTCAAAATAAAAGTTTACCAAGACTTTAAAAAAAAGAGGGAAAACTGCTAAAACACTGCTTTAGAAACTCTTTTTGATAGGTCTATCTGGCCTGAAAGCTTCTGTATCTGCAGAGTGATTTAATTACTTCTGCTACAGTTTTCACTCAGCTGCTGAATGTATGAAGGCCTGTTGGCAGCAGACCAGTGAGAATCTGGAGACAGCAGCACTATTCATTTGGCTCATACGGACCCAAGAGTACATCACAGTATGCCAGGACTTCCATAATAATAATACCACTCTATAATACTGATCTTGTAGCTATTTGGTCTTGGAGTTACTGGCATAGTGATATGGGGCAGGATGCCAGAGATATCCAGGTTACAGAGACACATGGGTTCACACAGAGGCTGACAAATTTAGCTTTGGTGCTCCGTCTCACTCAGGTTATTTTAGGAAGTGGTTCAACTGGCAAAATGTGCTTTTATTTTATACCTTAGAAAGAGGGAAATTGAAATCAGAATTAAAAACGGAAAAAAATAGCAATTAGTAAGTGGAATAATGTCATTATTTCAATTCAAAACAATTGAAAACACCGATGTCTCCCTCCCTCACAGGATCATCCTGGGAGTGTATTAACTGGAAACCAGTGACAGATCTTGTACAAGAAAAGTAGACACCCTCAGTATAACAGAAAGTGTTAAAAGTTTAATGCATATTGAGTAACACAGCTCTGCGGTTTGAGCTAAAAAAAAAAAAAACCCATCATCTGTTTCTTTGAGTGTGGCGTCCTCTAGTGTTACAATGAAGCAATGACATCTGCAGGCTCTCTAAAAATGGGAGGGTAGAAAGAGCCATGCTGCATGTTAACTACATCCGTTAATTGCTGCCTTAAAGTAAGGAAAAAAACACGACTTACACTTAAGTGATCAAGAAAGATCAACACAGTTAACTGCCCGTTTAATTTACAATCCTTTATTACACTCCCTCTCTCTGTCATTTTAAGTTACTTGCACAATTTGCATAGTGCAGCTTTAACCCGTGGGCTAGGAGCCATAATGGGTCTAAGGCCTACTTCTGGTTGGTCCCTGGATGCTGACATGCTGCAATAGGGTCACGGAGCGAGAGACTTCCTGTCTAATTTAGGTCTTGCACCGAAAAGGTTTCAAACCTCCAATGAAAACCAATTTAAAATCACTGATGAATAATGTAAGTGCATATATGAAATATACTAAAATAATGTACCTCATTTGTTTGAATCCTGTAATTCTATTCAATTTCTTACTGTAAATTTGAATGTCAGTATTTGTGAAATCATATGATGTAAACTGCACATACACTGCATGTTCCTAACTAGTCAGTTTGGTGATTGTTAAGGTGAGAGTTTGTCTTTTCTCTTACTCTGTACTTTGATTAATTTGTTATTGTGGGTAGATGGTTGAGAGAGCTGCATTTGGGCCACGATGCCAAATCTGCAGCATATCTTTTAAAGCAGCTATGATTTATATTTTTAAGTGAAAAACGATGCGACACTGTAGTAGTGATGAACCTACAGAGAATCATCATCTGATTCTGCAGCTGCCCTTGGCTTTAAGAAGCTCAAAAACCCACTGTACTCTACCTTTTTAGTTTTAAGGAAAACTGGCTTTTTTTTTATTGGTGCACTTGTTTTCCATCCGCCTCAGAATGAAGTGTAATCACAAAATGTGGTCTGAAACTTTGGTTTATGACCAAATACCTGAAAACTCATTACAACCAGCTTCAGCTGTTTGTGTTTACTGCTAATTAGCAAATGTTAGCATACTATCACGCTAATCCAAGATGGTGAACATGATAAACATTACCTGGTAAACAGCAGAATGTTAGCATTTCCTTTGTGAGCATGATAACATGCAGCATTCACATTAGGCTCAAAGCACTGCTGTGCCTGACGCCCAGCGTCACAGAGCTGCTAGCCTATAGCTGTACTCCTGTAGTTTGTCTTACTTCACTGTTCCATTCTTCATTTTATGCTCGAGGCTCATTAGACTCCCTGGTTCACCTTTATGAAACCAGACCTACACGGCCGCTTCAGGCACATTTTCCACTTCTAATCCCCATGCTGAATTACCTCTGTGCCTCTGTTTCATCTGTTATGATTTATTGCTCTCAAGTCCAGTACAAGGCAATCACAAAATATCCTCTGGCTGAATAATTGGATCCTATCAAAACTTTTCTCTCTGTGACTCCCCCCTTGAGGGGAAATAGAAGCAAATAAGCACAGCAATATGGAAAGTTCATAAAAAGGCAGGGCGCTTTAGTGATGCAGCATCTCTGAGTCATCTGGTGGTGTTGCTTTAATCGTTGGTAATGCACTGAGCACTGGCTGGTTGCTGCTATGTCAAGGGTAACGCCAAAGGCAATGAAATGGTGTGTCCTCCTTGAAGGAAGCCCGGCTGCTCTTTGCTGCAGAGGTTTTGGCAACGTTCCCAGAAGGTTTAATAAGTGTAATGGTGAAACTGGCACTCACACCACTGTCCTGTCATTGCTTTTCATTAACAAATGTTGCCCCGTTAAATCAGTTGGATAGACTGTCTGAACACACTTTTCATTTGCCTCAGACTTGGGCAGTTAAGGTGGTCTGAGGTGGTGAGGCTGTACGATTTAAGGCATTCTTTCTCATGTTTGATTTTTGATTTTTTTTTACCATTTAGGTGCTGCTTTAAAGAGTGTTTGGATCATATAATGTCCTCAAGGTATTCTTAGTCCCTTCTAATCGTCCCTGTGAAAATATTGAAAAATCAATCAAGCTTTGATTTTGTATATTTCATGCTGCTTCACAGTGGCTGGAGTACACAGTGATTCTCACGAACAAGCATGTATTGTATGGATTTCCCTGGAGAGACCTGCAGTGGCAGTGTGATGCAGCTCTCTCCAGCCGTCCACTATACGTGGTCAGGTAGTCTATTGATTTCAGATGGCAGAATGAGACTTCATTAAGTCAATTTAATAAAACTGAGGTGCTGAATTGTTGAGTGGGAAGGAAATTAAAAACAGTAGATACCACCTAAGGACCCAACATGTATGTTTAACTTCTGAGCTGATTACATCTTTTTTTCAACTTATATATCATCTGATGTAAATAATCCTAAAATCCTAAAAAAAAATTGCCATAAAAGGTGTCAAACGTCAAGTTGTTGAACTGACTGGTTTGTCAGCATGTAGTATCATGCTACATTAAATGCTTTGCATGTCCTGCTACAACATACAGCGTGACTTCTGCTTGACTTTTACACTTTTTGTTTAATTAGGTGACTCTATGATCTATGTCTCCTTGATGAGGCAGCAGCAGTGATCTGTGTCCTTCCTGCAGCTCATCCCACCTTCTGCTCTTTTAAATTATTCACTAGTTACATGTTAACTGCCTATAAACAAGGAAGGGAGGAACTAGTTGCCTTTTCATGTTGCAGCTGCTGAGTCTGCTGGAGCCTCACATCTACTGCTGCTGGGGAAAAAAACGGAAAAAAAAACACAACTTCCCATCTGTGTTCTGCCTGCCTCCATACTGCAGCAAAACCAGCCCAAGCAGACCGCTAATAGCCCCCCCCCCCTCACTCATCCACCCCTCTCCTCTCCTCTCCTCTCCTCTCCTCTCCTCCTCCCTCACCTTGTATCCTCTCTAGTCCTCACACCTCACTGCACTGAGGTTCCTGCAGAGTTCCTGCAGCAGGGAGGCAAAGGACCCAAAATCAGGCTCTGTGAGAGCCACTGCAGACTGCTGGTTACCATCTTCACCTCTCCTTTCACAACTCATCGATTCCACTGCTTTTGCACTTCCCCCTCTCTCTCTCTCTCTCTCTCTCACACTCTCACTCACTCTCTTCCTCCCTTTCCTCCTGCGTCTATTTCTCAAAGCTCAGCACTCCCTGTCTGCGTGTACTGGGGGGGAAAGTGATGGAGCAAGAAAGAAAAGAGGAGGAGCACAGTTGTTAGTGCGCCACAGAAACCCCCCCTCCCCCTCCTCCCTTACCCAATTGATGACAAGGAGGGTTTTTATTGAGTTGCTCCTCATCCAATGAGCGAACAGTGCCGGGAAATACAGCAGTGGAACTGCACCGGCTCTGAGGCTTGTGCTGGTTTCAGTGTGTTAGAACAATGTTAATCTGTGTGATCTTATTTTCTCATCTCCGCCTGATCTGAGTGCACGTCAGCAGCACCTTCAGCCCAGAAAAGTCTTGATTGTGAGTGTCAGGGGGCTTCTTGGACAGAAACACCCCCAGGTGAAACTGGGACTTGCCAGCACTGGGGATTTTTTTTGCAATGTCTTTTGAGAGTGGGATGAACCAAAGTGCATATTGTTAAGATTTTTTTCTTCCTGTCAAGAATATATCTGACCCTGTTCTCTGCTTCCACTCTTGCTTAGGAGGCAGCACATCTCTCCTCAAGGTAAGCAGCATTTTTGCTTTTCCTCTCCAGAACAGCATCATCAGTTACTGAGGCTTTGCTGCGTGCCAGGCTGTCACAGAGGCACCTAGCCTCATTACACACATCCTGCCTGAATGTGGAAAAAA